AGGATGAGATTGAATTCCCCCCCTTGCGGGCGCTCGAACCGCAAGCACATTAACACCCTTCCCTTCCCCTCGGGAATACCGGGAGCTGCTTCGCTCCCGAGGTTTGGCGAGGCGTCCGGGAGCAGGGCCGGGGTTTCGGCGCCTCCCCGCAGGCAGATCCCTGGATCTGGGCGCTGCCAGGAGCTCATTTCCATGCGGGAGACGATCCCAACCCCCGCCCCTGCCCGGGCTGCACCTCGTGTGCTGTCAAGGAGAAAATTAACGTGGCCGCGGGCCAGGGATGTTCCACGGCCGAGCGAGCCGGGCTGGAGCTGGAGCTGGAGCAGGGAAGGCGGGCTGGATTTGTCCATGGTGCCGCTGGAGGAGCAGGTGGTGCCGAGCCTCGCTGGGATCACCGGAGTCCAGGAGCCGGCAGAGAGCTGGAGGGAGGTGGCCCCACTTCTCTTCACCTACTCTGCTCAGAACCCTCCCCTGCAGAGCCAGGAAAAATTGGGAGCGAGAGGGAGCTGGGATGGACTTGTATGAACCACCTGGAAGCAGGAGGGGAGCTGGGATTAATTAGTTAATTTGTATTCACTGTACGGATTCATCCCTTGCCACACCAGAGCCTCCTCTTCCTGTGGTTGATGTTGGAGTGACCACCTCCATTTCTGCCACGAATTTAGGGAATCACCAAATCCCAGCGTGGTTTGGGTTGGAACGGACCTTAAAACTCATCCAGTTCCAGGGGCAGGGACACCTCCCACTATCCCGGGTTGCTCCAACTCAGCCTTGGGCACTTGCAGGGCTGGGGAGGGAAGAGGAGGAGCCCCCTCAGCAAGAGGGACAACAAAGCAAACACATGGAAAACCAAAAAGAGAAGGTTTCCCAGAGGAGCTGTGGCTGCCCCATCCCTGGAGTGTCCAAGGCCAGGTTGGATGGAGCAACCTGGGATAGTGGGAGATGTCCCTGCCCATGGATTGGATGACCTTGGAAGGTCCTTTCCAGCCCAGACCATCCTGTGGTTCTCTGATGAAGCAGATGAGGTCCCTCAGGATTGCTGAGCGTTCCTTCATGGAATCACAGAATCAGCCGGGCTGGAAAAGAGCTCCGAGATCATGGAGCCTCAATCCAACCCCGCCGTGGTTCCCAGCCCATGGCACTGATGCCACATCCAGTCTGTCCTTAAACACCTCCAGGGAAGTGACTTCACCCCCTCCCTGGGCAGCCCATTCCAAGGGCTGATCACTCTCCATGCAAAAAATTCCTTCTGAGTATCCAACCTGCCCCTGCCCTGGCACAGCTGGAGGCTGAGCCCTCTTGTCCTACTGCTGCTTCCTGGGAGAAGAGCCCGATCCCACCCGGTCCCCCCTCCTGGCAGGGAGTTGTGCAGAGGGATGAGGTCTCCCCTGAGCCTCCTCCTCTCCAGGCTGAGACCTCCCAGCTCCCTCAGCCTCTCCTCATGGGAATTGTGCTCCAGTCCCTTCCCAGCCTCGTTGCTCTTCTCTGTACCTGCTCCAGCCCCTCCGTGTCCTTCCTGAGCTGAGGGCCCAGAGCTGGACACAGCACTCCAGGGGTGGCCTCACGGGGGCACAATCCCTTCCCTGCTCCTGCTGCCACACTCTTCCTTATCCAGGCCAGGATCCATCAGCCCTCTTGTCCCCTGGGCACACTCTGGTTCCCACTCACCTTCCTGGCCATCCCAACTCCCAGCTCCCTTCCTGCCTGGCTGCTCTCCAGCCCCTCCGGCCCAGTCAGGGGTTGTTGTGGCCAAAGGGCAGGACCCAACCCTTGGCCCTGTGGAACCTCATCCCGTTGGAATCATCCCATGGATCCAGCTTGTCCAGGTCCCTCTGCAGAGCCCTCCTGCCTTCCAGCAGATCCACACTCCCCCCAGCTCGGTGTCACCTGCACATTTGCTGATGGTGGGACTCCATTCCCTCATCCAGGTCATCAATAAAGACATTAAACAGGGCTGAGTTTAAGGGTTAAACTCAGAGCTGAAGGAATAAATAGGAAAACCCATGGATTTTTTTCCGAAGGCCGGCGTTGCCGGGATGTGAAGTGGCACCGTCGGGTGGCTCCGGGCGCTGACGTCAAACATGCAGAGGGCGCGAAGTGACAAAATTCCGGGTGGGATTGGAAACCTTCCCTCCTGACCTTGCCTGGGCTGGGTGGTTTTAACCTCCCTTTCCTCCTCCCATCTGCCTGGTGAATCAGGGCTCTGCCTGGTGAATCACACAGGCTTTTGTGCTCAGGACCGTGGGGAATATTATCACACAACCTCGCTGGGAGCCCTTTTTTTCCCCGCTGGAGTGGCTGAGGTACCTCTTGTACCTCGTTGGAGAAGCAGCGTCGCTTCCTTTCCTTAATGTCCTTGGTCAGAGCAGTCCCCTCACACACAGTCTCCTCATTCTTCCTTTCACAGTCGCTTTGTTTTCCGCCCACAAAAGGTGGAATTTGGGCCATATGGGTTCTTAGGGAACAAGAGGACTCGGAATCACTTCTCTGACCTCATACGACTTCGTGTTACGCACCCACTGCACCTGCCTGGCTTGAGAATCAGTGCAGGGATTTGTGTTTTCCCTCTCTCTTTGCGTCTGGAGCATTGGATGCTCCTCAGGAGTGGAAATGGTGGTCAGGCAAGGGCAGAGAATGCCAGCCTTCCTTGACAGCCACTGGACCAACCTGGAAATCAGCCTGAACCCTTGGAGCAGAGGGGAATTCCCATGGTTTCAGGAGATCCATTAAATAGAGATGATGGTCTCCTGCTGTCAGGTCCCGTTTCTGACCCCGGTTCCTTACTGGGAGTTGACTCCATGATCCTCATGGATCCCTTCCAACTCTACATTCTCCGTAACCCAGCCCAACAAAACAGGAGGATTCTCCCCAAAAAACACGTTGGGTTCTGTCACATTAGTGAGGTGACTCATCCCGATCAAGGATCCATCAGGAATCGGAGCTGGCACGAGGTTGGGAGCTGGAAGTGTGGGCAGGGCACGGATCCATCCCATCTCCTGCCCCTGGAGCTGCAGCACCGGCCAGCCCAGAGGCCCTCAAATGAGTCATTTGTGTCCTGTCCCCACAGCTGGCGATGATTTTAGGGTTAGATATGAGGAAGGAATTATTTGGGATGAGGGTGGGGAGGCCCTGGCACAGGTTGCTCAGAGAAGCTGTGGCTGCCCCTGGATCCCTGGAAGTATCCAAGGCCAAGTTGGACAGGGCTTGGAGCAGCCTGGGATAGCGGAAGGTGTCGGGGTTGGAACTGGAAGAACTTTAAGGTCCCTTCCAACCCAACCATTCCATGATTCTGTGACTTTATCCCTGATCCAGATCTTGTCTGGTTTCTTACACTGCCTCAGCTGTCGCCATCTTTCTGCAAGGCTGTGTCGAAATGACTCTGGAGGTTGATCTGCCTGGAAAAGCTGTTCTTTCCCTGTTTCCATTTTCCAGCTGGCTTGGCTCCCGGCTCTATGTTTCCCTGGAGCTGCCCAGGGTGTCCCTGGAATGCCAGGGGTGGGGGCTGCTGGAGCTGTCCCTGGCTTAGGCAGGGAGAGAGGGAGAGTCAGGAACAACCTGGGCTGCCGTGGTCCTGCCATGTCTCTGACCTCTTTCCCACCCCTGTGGTGGATCCAGCATCCCCTGGAGTGTGAGCAGGTCCATTTTGGTGGGGTTTGTCGTGTTGAAGGGAGAGTTTAACACACACCAGGGGTGGGAAATGTTGCAAAATGTCCAAGTGGGTTGGGAATGCAGGCAGGCTGGGAGAGCTGGAGGTGTCCAGCTGGGAGAAGAGAAGGCTCCAGTTTGACCTTGGAGCCCCTTCCAGAGCCTAAAGGGACTCCAGGAGAGCTGGAGAGGGCTGGAGGGACAAGACCCAGGGAATGGCTTCCCACTGGGAGAGGGCAGGGAGAGATGGGAGATTGGGAAGGAATTCCTGGTTAGGAGGGTGTTGAGGGGCTGGGCTGGATTTATAAGAGAAGTTGTGGCTGCCCCTGGATCCCTGGGAGTGTCCAAGGTCAGGTTGGATGGGTCTCGGAGCAACCTGGGATAGTGGGAGATGTCAGAGTTGGAGCTGGATGAGCTTTAAGGTCCCTTCCCACCCAAACCATTCCATGATTCCGGACAACTAGTGAAGCACTTCAGCAGCAACTGGTGAGACCACACAGCAACCATTAACTCACCTTAACAAACCTGTGTGGGTTTTTATTCCTGTGAGAATCCCATGCTGGAGAGAGGGATCAAGCCGTGGATATCAAGTGTTCCAAGGTCTAATCCAACCTGAGCCCCGGCCCGCGGATCCCGTTGCAGCGAGGCCGTGTCATCACTTAACTCAATTTAATGCTTGCTTGGTTCGGGGGGGGGGGGGGGCTTTGGAGTTTATTTTTTTTTTTCCCTTTGCAAGTGATTTTATTTTAATTGTCATCACTGGAAATTTAATCTGCGGAAAGAAACCCGACACGCGAGCCGGAGCCGCTCCGTTGGCGGCACAAAACGGAATAAAGCAGGAATAAAGCAGGAGCTGCACTTCATCCTGCCGTTTCCCTGGGCCTGTTGAGAACATCATTGCAGAATAAATCTGTTTTTCTTCATTGCTATTCAAATGATGTGGCCCAGACACATTGATTAATCTCTAAGTGTGGCCCTGCTGAGATGGGAGATAAGTACCCTCATTCCTATTGTTCTAATTCCGAGCACAGTCTGTTACAATAAATGCTGCAATATCTATTGAATTCCTGCTGAAAGGTACGAGCAAGGCACAGATTTGACTCTCTCGGTGTTGCCATGTGGATTAATTTTTATTTTTTTTCTCCCTTAGTTTTTTTTTTTTTTTTTTTTTCAAACCCAGAACACGCTCCTCTCGTTTCCAAACCCGCCACGAGCTGATAAACGTTCCCAACCCAGGAATTCTTCAAACGCACTTAAAATTACCTTTTGCAAAACCCCTCTGGAAATCAGTTTTGTTTGAAGCTTGGAGAAATGTGGTTTCTTTCGCCCTGACTCCCGTTTTTTTTTGTTCCCATTCCTGCAGGAGTTCTTCGAGAATCCCGCTTTTCGCCCCGACGGGATGAAGCTCTACCCGACCCTGGTGATCCGTGGCACTGGCCTGTACGAGCTCTGGAAAACTGGGAGATACAAGAGCTACCCCCCCAGCACTCTGGTGGATCTGGTGGCCCGAATCCTGGCCCTTGTCCCCCCCTGGACTCGCGTGTACCGTGTCCAGAGGTAATTTTCCATGCCTACGGATTTGCTGCGCTCGGAGGGATCCGGACTTTTGCAGCGAGATCTGACTCAGCCTTTCATTATTTCTCAGCCTCAATCATTAATTCACTAAAGATCTTTAAAACTGCTTCAGGTTTTTGTTTTTGTTTTTTTTTTCTTTAAAACCTATTGAGGCTGGGAGAGGCCGAGGAGGATGAGGAGCTCTTTAGGTGGAACTCCATGTCCAGAAATTTCTGGAGGCTCCACTTCCTCCGGCAGCGAGACAAGAGCCTGGGATGCAGCCCTTTAATGATCGTGAGGGATAATTGCCTCTTGGCTGAGGGGGAACATTCCTCTCTTTGTGGCAGGAGCTGTGAGCTGTGTCATTTTTCTGGCTGTGGAGACTTCCTCTCTCTCCCCGTGGGCGTTGCAGGGTTTTCGGGAACGTTCCGTGGTGGCGCCATTATTCCCAGCACCCACCTCCCGGAATTATGGATAATCATTCCATTAGCAGCGTGGGGTCTTCCCTGGGTTATTTTGCTTCTGTTATCTCCTAAATCTGCCTGATAATAGAAAGGGAGGTTGTAAACACTTCCCTATTTTTGCATGCACAGACAATACTCCGTTGGCTCCCGGCTCCGTGAGTTGGAATCGGTTCCAATCCCGTGCTCTCCAAGAGGAGAGTGAGGAATGAGACCTCACCTGCCTGGGTTTCTCCAGAAGAATTTGCTTTTGTGCCTGATTGGAAGGGTGACAAAGTGGGGATAAGCAGAGAAACGTGTCAGAGAAGGAGGTGGCCAAAGGGAAGAAACACTGGGAAGCTCTGACCAAGAAATTCTGGATTCAGGAATAAGATTCTAAAATGCCCGTTTAAACACTAACCTTGCTCAAAATTTTATGTGTTTACAGTGGCACAGAAAAGAATAAGGCATTGAGGAAACCTTGGAGGGCTGGGAAGCATCCCTGGAAGGGGGAGGATCTGCTGGTGGCAAAGCTGGAGTGGGAGATGGGATGAGATGCAGGTCAGGGAAGTTTGGCATCAAACTCCAGGTGGTTTTGTTGTAAATTCTGGGACCACCATAACAGAGGAGGAAAAGTTCTTAATGTCTTGGTCTGGAATAGGATGAACCACCGGGGAATGCAACCGTGAAAAGCATTTTTTTCAGGATAACTCCTTGTAGAGATGGAGGTATCGATGCAGCGGCCGGAGCAGGCTTTGGGAATGTCTTGTGTGGAATAAGCTCCATCTTCAGGAGAATGAACTGTGGGAATATGTGCAGGGCAGCATGAGTCTTTTTTTGGAAGGATAGATGTGGACATAAATGACCTCTGAGAGAAGGAAAATCGTGGAATCACAGGATGGTTCAGGTTGGAATGGACCTTAAAACTCATCCCATTCCAACCCCCTGCCACGGGCAGGGAACATTTTAAGAAATAACCTTTTAAGGAATTACCATTTAAAGGAATTAACTTTTAAGAAAGAGGTACAATGATTTGGGCAGAGAACAAGAAAACTAGGAGTAGCCTGCGTGAAACAAGGCAGGAATGTGGGAATTTTTGGTCAGGACAGAGATTCCGAGGAGTAGCTCGTTCCTGGTGCCGTCACCGCGGCATCACATCTAAATCCAGCAGGTTTATTCCTCAAGGATGGTAGCCTAGCAGGTCTTTTCCTGAGGAATTCAGGCATAGAAAAGGCTTTGTTTGTTGTGCTGTCACCCTGAGCCCCCCCTTCCAGCTGTCAGTTGGGATGTTCTGGTGCGGTTTTCCCGCTTCCCGGCTCGCGGCAGTTGGAACATGTCCGTGGTGATTATGGATTTTTACACCTCCAGAGCGGAGCCCAGGAGTTATTACTTGGATCTGAATTGCTTCCAGGGCCGTTGTGTGACTCAGGAACAGGATAATGAACAAAACCAAGGTTTCTGAAAACATCCACGGGCTGTTCCCAACAATGGGAGCGACTTTTCCCTCGTTCTCCGCTGCATCCCAGGCCCTTTCCATCTCCATGAGTCCACTTTCCTTCACAGCTTCCCTTTCCAGGCTCTCTTTCCACGGTGCTTTCAGATTCAGCTCGTGCCCAGAGAGCAGGTTATCCCGACTGGAAAGCTGGAGAGGGAATGGAATAAAAGGGTATGGAATGACAAGGACAAGGGAACGGAATGACAAGGACAAGGGGGAACGGCTTTAAGCTGAGAGTAGGTTTAGATGAGATATTAGGATTAGATATTGGGAAGGAATTCTTGGCTGTGAGGGTGGAGAGGGGCCAGAATGGAATCCCCAGAGAAGCTGTGGCTGCCCCTGGATCCCTGGAAGTGTCCAAGGCCAGGCTGGATAGGGCTTGGAGCAACTTGGGATAGTGAGAGGTGTCCCTGCCCATGGCAGGGGTTGGAACTGGATGGTGTTTAAGGTCCCTTCCCACCCAAAACCTGCTGGGATGTGATGATTCCATGAAGCTGGGATGGCTCCAGGCTGGGGTTCTCAGTTTCCCATCAGACAAATCCTGTGGGATGCAGCTCCAAGGGATTCAAGGAAAACCCTGAGCTCCAGGGAGAGCTTGGAACCCCTTCCAGAGCCTAAAGGGGCTCCAGGAGAGCTGGAGAGGGACTGGGGACAAGGGCTGGAGGGACAGGACCCAGGGAATGGTTTCCCAGTGCCAGAGGGCAGGGAGAGATGGGAGATTGGGAAGGGATTCCTGGCTAGGAGGGTGGTGAGGCCCTGGCACAGGTTGCCCAGAGAAGTTGTGGCTGCCCCTGGATCCCTGGAAGTGTCCAAGGTTGGACGGGGCTTGGAGCAACCTGGGATAGTGAGAGGTGTCCCAGCCCATGGATTTATGAGCTTTAAGGTCTTTTCCAGCCCTTTTTTTTATTCCCAACAGTAAAGAAAAGCTCCTTTCCTTGCCCCCCCTTGCCGATGTCTCGGATTTGCAGAGGCTGGAGTAGCACAAGGATCAGGCCTTTGGGACCCTTGGAGACCTTGATCTTTGATAAGATAAAAAAGTAGGAATTGCTAAAAAATAGGAAAAAATTGCCCCAAATAGGAATTGCCAACCATAGGAATTGTTAATGGTGTGAAAGCAATTCCACAGGGAACTGGATGGATCCATTAACACATTGGTGTCGGGTATCTGATCCAATTAAGCTAATTCCATCCACAATTCCCTGATTGGGGGAATCAGGGAATGATTCTGTCCTTTAAGCTGCTGAGTCTTGCATGGATAAAGGAAAAGGGGGAATGCTCACCAGGGAATGTTTGAGCCCAGTTTGCTGAGTATGTTCCATGTTTGTGTCGTCCTGATTTCCCTGTGGAAGATCCGAGGGTTTTGGATAACACAGGTGGAGTGGGATGTGCCAGCAATCCCCCTGGTTCCTTCCCAGCCTGCTCTGGGTGCATAAATCCTGCTTTTCCTGAGGGGTGGTGTCCTGCTTTCATCCTCTCCAGCGGGACAAACTGCCCTGGGAGGCAGCACAGAGGCCAAACCCGGCCTTGCCTTCAAATTCCATCGGGGCTTTCCCTTGGAAAACCGAAGGAAGGAGTCCTGCCATTTCCAGACTCCCGATTTACATTCCCATAAGAAGGGCCTGGACTCTCTGGCCACTCCAAATCATTTGCTGAACAGAACTTTTTGGCTTTTAAGCAGCTAAAATCCCAACATAGAGAAGTTATGATCCCGATGAATTTTCCCTGGTGGACGTTCAGCTCCCAAACCGCAGAACTGGTTCCAAATTACTGGTTTTCCAGCAGCAGATTCCACGAAGAACATCTGACCTGGACTCCTAAAAAAAGGTGGAGCCTCAGCTGAATGATCCCTTTTTTTTTTTTTTCCCCAGATTCCCAAGAACTGAGAACAAAATCACGATTTTTATACTTTTAATTTTTTAATCCCTAAAGCCAACTTTTATATTAATTTTTTTTTTTACCTAAATAAAATCTGGACCTTTTCCCCTCCGTTTTCCTCCTGCTCTTAGTTGCGTTTTGCCTGTTTTCTTCAACCGAGGGCTCGAAACCGAGGGAATTCTGAGGAATTCCGGGATCTGCTGTTTGGGATCTCTGCTTAGGTGGCTTTGTGGTGCCTTCCCTGCCCGTGGAATTGTTTAAAGGGTTCACTTTTCTTTTTCCACGCAGGGATATCCCGATGCCACTGGTGAGCTCCGGGGTGGAGCACGGCAACCTGAGGGAACTCGCCTTGGCCAGGATGAAGGATCTTGGGACACAGGTAAAAAAAATCCTGGGAAGGGGCTTTGAAAAAAAAACCCAACAACTTAATGACTAAGAAAGCACTTTAATGATCCTTCTGGGATCATTAAAAAGCTGGGTTTGCTTGGGTGACTTTTAGTTTTGTTTGGGTGATTTTTAGTTCAGCACTTTCACCCCCATCCCTGGTAACTAGTTTGTGATATTCCATTTTTTTTTTTGGAGCCCTAAATCGAAGAGAGGAGGCAGGAAAGGTTCCTTTGTGATCGATGCCAGTTGGAAACTCTCCTTCCTTTTCTCTTTTCCCACACACTCGCTCGCTGGAACAATTGGAAGGAAGGCTCTCAGTGGAATCTTGCAGGAGAGGTTTCAGCACAAACAAAAGGAGTCTTGATATTCCTGATATTTCTGATAAAAACGAGGGGGAGGGGGAGGGGAAGGAATTGGATTTGTGTTTGCAGCCAGGAAGGATGGATTCCCAGCCTTTTCCCAGTGTTCCTCCTGCTCTGCCCTGCCCCTACCCTCCCTTTAAACCCCCCTCCCAAAAACCCAAAGCCCCTCCTGGAAAGTTATGCCCTTTTTCTTTTGGGATGTCCAACTTCCTGAACAAAACATGGCACAAACCCCATGTTTCCTGAGAATATTCCACCCACTGAGGGTGCCCAGAGAAGCTGTGGCTGCCCCTGGATCCCTGGAAGTGTCCAAGGCCAGGTTGGAGCAACCTGGGATAGTGGGAGGTGTCCCTACCCGTGGCAGGGGGTGGAAGGAGCTGCTCTTTGCTGTCCCTTCCCACCCGAACCATTCCACAATTTTGTGATTCACTTCCAAAGGGCTTTGATTGCTTTGGTGCCCTGGGCAGGGGCACATCCCCACCACAACTTTTCCATGAATCTCTGTGAGGATTTAGCTCTCTCTCTTCCCAGCTCCCCTTTCCTTAAAGAGCTTTTAAGGCACCGCTGCATCCAGCAATTGTAAATTCCCCGGTTGCTGCCCGTATCCCTGGATTCCCACATCAATCTGTGCCTCTGACCCGTGTTTTTTGGGATTTAACAGGGATAATCCTCCAAGCTACATCTAACTCCTTGCTGCCTGCGCCATCCCGCTTGGATCTCGCAGTCAGGAAAGGCGAGGGAAGAAACTCCAGGCTCTTTTCCTCCCAGCTGGGCTTTCCATCCCGCTTAATCCCTCTCCTTAAGCTGCTGCCCTGGACTTTTCTCCTTCAATCATTCCTCCCAGCCTCTCTCTCCAGGATTTGGCAGAGAGCTCTGCCATCCGCGAGGAGCTTCCATCCCTCCCGCCGCCGTTCCACTTGAAATCCCGGCAGGGGAGGGAAGCCTCTGGAATTGAGCTCTCCAGGGCTCCTGGTGGAACCTCCTCCCCAACTTTGCCGCTAAACCCGGCCGGGACCAGCTGGAAAAGCTGGGAGAGCCGATCCATGGCACCGAGGGGCTCAGCTGGAGCCCTAAAGGGCTTGGAAGTGTGGCTTTGAGAGGAGCCACACTCTGGAAATGTCTCTGCTGGGCAAATGATTATGGGCTTTAATTTAGTGAGGCAGAAACTCGGCAGCTGCCGGGAGCAGGATCCGAACAATCTGCTGCAGCACAGCTCGGAATGTGAGGGAACTGCTGTGCTCTCCATGGGTCAGAGGAGAAAGCTATAAATAGGCTTTGCCCTCCTGCCTCCCAGGCTGGAGAAAGAGAGGAAAAGGCCTTGTAGGAATCTCGTGTCTCGTAGGGGGCTTGGAGGAATCTCATGTATTTGCCGGCTCGATGGCGAAGATCAGGCAGTTCACCAGCTCTGAAATCCATCTTCAGGGAATGTTTGAGGGATGGGGATCAGCTTTGTGTCTGTGGTTGTTGAGGATCTTTGTTGGAGGGACCAGGTGCTGGACTTTGGGATTGCCAGACACCGAGTGCGGGTGGAGATGTGCAGTTGGGACGCGGAATTTCAAAGGAAAATCCCAAAATACACACTCACTCCTCAGGTCTGGGGTTCTAAACAAAGTGTGGATGTTCCTCCCCTTTTTTCTGGGCTGTTTGTGCAGCTGGAAATTGGAAAGCAGGGAAGAGTTCGCCTCCTGCTGGGGCAGGTCACTGGTGGTTCCCCAGGGCTCAGTGCTGGGAATGGTCCCGTTTGATCTTCATGGATGATCTGGGATCGAGGCACCCTGAGGCAGAGATGGCAGCAAGTTGGGTGGGATGTGGATCTGATGGAGATCAAGATCATCTGCAGAGGGATCTGGACAGGTTGGATCCATGGGATTGAGGGGCCAAGGCCAAGAGAGTGAGGGGCAACAAGACCACGTGCCAGGAATTGCTCGTGGGGGCACCACAACCCTGTGGAATGTTCCAGGCCGGGGGAAGAGTGGCTGGAAAGATGGGAAAGGCCCTGGAGGTGCTGGACACAAGCCCAGGTGGGCAAGGGGGTCAAGGGCTGTCCCAACCCTGGTGTGGCAGCAGGAGCAGGGAAGGGATTGTCCCCCTGTGCTGGCACTGCTGGGGCACCTCCAGGGCTGGGGACAGCCCTGGGACACTCCCAACAAGGGAGACATTGAGGGGCTGGAGCATGTCCAGGGAAGGGAATGGAGCAGGGAAGGGGCTGGAGCAGCAGGAGTTGCTGAGGGAGCTGGGGAGGCTCAGCCTGGAAAAAAGAGGGATCAAGGGGCACCTTCTGCCTCTGCAACTCCTTGATGGATCCAGGGAAGGGTCGGGCTCTGCTCCCAGGGAACAAGGGACAGGAACAGCTGTGCCAGGGGAGGAGGTTTAGGTTGGATATTGGGAATGATCCCTTCATGGGAAGGGTTGTCCAGCCCTGGCACAGCTGCCCAGAGCAGGGGTGGATGCCACATCCCTGGAGGGGTTTAAAATCCCTGTGGATGTGATCCTTAGGGACATGGCTCAGGGGTGGTGGCCTTGGCTGTGCTGGGGAACAGTTGCACTCAATGACCTCAGAGGGCTTTTCCAACCTTAACAATTCCATGATTCCATGCTGTAGAATCCCGATACAACACTGAGCCCTGGGTTTATCACACCCCACTCCAAAACCCAGACACAACCCCCCCATTTTTCCTATTATTTAGTGAGATCTTGGCTTTATACCGATAATGGAGTTTAAAAGCCCTCGGAGACAGGGCACAAGGCAGAGCTGAGTTTGTTCCCACTGCTCTGAATTTCTGTGTGAATTGGATTTTCACACATTCCTTCCCTGTCTTAAATGTCTGGCTTTTGGAATTACAGGGGCAGGTGGGTGTTGGTGCTGTTGGAGCAATTTTAACCCACTGGTGGAGGTTATTAATGGCTCTAAAGTGACAGAGGGCACGGTTAAACAGGATACTGGGGAGAAATTCTTCCTTGTGAGGGTGGTGAGGCCCTGGGATGCAATTCCCAGAGAAGCTGTGGCTGCCCCATCCCTGGAAGTGTCCAAGGTGAAGCTGGGTGGATCTCTGAGCAACCTGGGCTGGTGGAACTCAGCACTGGGCTTACCAATAAACCCACAAAAACCTGGATGAACCCTCTCCCACAGCAGGAATTCCCACGCTGTCCCAACTCTTTACTAACGGGACCAAGTGCCGAAGTCCTCAAATTTTATTGGTTTTGCTGAAAACCACAAAATCTGTGCGAGTTATAACCCATCTTTCAGCACTTGAGCCTCTTCTCCTCCCCTGTCTCACTTCTGAGGGAGGGGAGATTCCTTTCCAGGACTCATCCCAAGCCTTGGCAGCGCTCCGTGGCTGCTGGGTCATGTTTGCACTCAGATATTCGGGAAGAGCCCCTGGAGCAGCTCCCATTTAAAAACAAGGAGAGGTTTGCTGGGATTCAAACTCTCTCTATTTGAGGCCTCTCTGCCGCGTGGATTTTGCCGGCATTCCACCTTCCCAGTGCAGGGCAACAACGGATGATTCCAAAGCCGTTTTTCCCCTCTCCTGTTGTTCCATGGATGTTTCCTCTCCCTGCTGGTTGGGAATCCAAGGGTGCTTTTCCTCTTGAGCCCCAATGGCCACTCAGCAAATCGATTTTTGCCGGCGGGTCTTTCCGTTGAGCGCCGAGCCCTCTCTCCCAGCTGGATTAGGGCCGGAGCAGGGATGGATCAGTGATCCCTTTTATCTGGAAGGCTCCCCCCAAGTTGAAATCCATCCCTGCAACTGTTTCAGTGGAGTTTTGGACCCAACATTGCTCGGAAATCTCTTGTGTCCGGAGCTTCCTGACCGTCTCCTCTGTGATTCCCTTTTCCCAGTGCCGCGACGTGAGGACGAGAGAGGTCGGAATTCAGGAAATCCACCACAAAGTGAGACCTTATCAGGTAAGATTTGTCTTTTTTTTTTTTGGCCCTTTTTTTTTTTTTTTACCTTTTTTTTTATTTAAGTCAGAGCTTGTTTTCAGCCACAGTTTATCTTCTGGCACTGGGAGCCATTTGTTGCACGTCCAATCCCGTGGTTTTGCCTTTGTAGCTGGATCCAGTTTTCCATGTATTTCTGCGTGTCTCGTTCCTTTCTTTTTGGATTTCTTGTTTGAGCACATGTGGAAATTTATGGACCACCGTGTTCAACAAATGCATCTGCAGCTACTGGTTTATTTGGGTGTTTGGTATAACAAAAGATCTGCTTTTTTCCCTTTGCTCCCTTCCCTAAATTCGGCTTTAAAAAAAAAAAAACAATAACACCACGTGTTCATTGTGAACAGGAATAAAAATGTTTAGCAGGATGAGTTTATAGCCTTTTTTTGGGGTGGATCTGCATGTTTTTATAGGCAAACAGTGCATGTGTAAATACATTTATGCACATGTATACTTATATTTATTTATATGAGTATACTCAGTTAGCATTGAACAGATATGTTGTGGTTTTCCTTCCTAAAATCCTTAAATAGTCCACAAAAAGATGCTTGGGAAAGGAAAACGTTCACTGCATCCAGTTTAGGAACTCATGGCATCCTTGAATGCTTTGGGTTTGGAAGGGACCTTGAAAGATCATCTAATAAAAACTAAAGAGCATCTAATTGCTTCCAGCTCACTGTAGTCCCAAGGAGGGATCAATCCTTCCACAAAGGGATCGGGAATTCCATGGCATCCAAGGAAATGAGCCTTTTAGGAGCACACAGGCCCAGATTTTACTTTCCATGTGTGCTGTGGGTAATAAATCATGCCCTGGAAATATTCTCCTCCTGTTCCTTTGCTGCCATTAAGGAGGGACTGGAAGGATTCTGGAGTTTGTCCATCAGATGTTGCCTTCACTTCCAAACAGGAATTCTTTGTGCCAGGCAGGAGCTGGGTCAGGATGGCACTTCCTGGTCAGGATGGGCACGGACACACTTCCTAAATATGAGCCACTAAATTGGGATTAGGATGTGACTCCCATCAGAGATCTTCTCCCCGGTGCTTTGGAGAATCCCTGGATTTCTTTAGGCTTGGAGGAGACCCTGAATTTGGCACCGGGAGTTGGGCAGAGGGAATACTCTCCTAGTCTGGTGCCGAAAGACCTTCTCCCAGGGATTCTGGGGAGCCACATCCTGCTTCCCTCCGTGACTTCAGGGGGAGTGCCACCCACCCCACCTGTGACACACAGAAAGGGACCAGAATCCCAGATAAATGACCCCGTTCCTACCCGATTCCTGCAGGAATGGGGGCTGCCCAGACCCCTTTGCCTCTGCGCTGCCCCTTCATCTGCGGTCACCTCACGGAGCCTCTCCACCCCCCCCCCCAGCTGTCTGTTGGCAGCTCCTCTAACCTGATTTGAATTGTAAATTCTGATTTTTGGGAGGGGAGGAGAGCAGTTAGCAAATAGCTTATCACAGGGTTTTCAAAGCAAAATCCCCTTTGTTAGGCTCCGTCTGGCTGAGTGGCAGGAGGGTGTCATTATGCAGTCGGAGCGGAATTTATCATGACAAGCCAGGGAGAGGAATATTCCGGGGGATGGCACCGTTCTTTCCTTGTGCCTCAGACTGATGACAAGGTGTACGATGTTTGTCTTGGCTCCTCGAGTAAACACGTCCCCCCTGTCACATCTCAAAAGAAATTAATCCCTCGCTCCAATTAATCACGGCTCCTTTTCCGGGCGGGATCGATGGGGGCCGTGCGTGTATTTTTATAATACATAACTCTACTTATAATTTATTTATCGTTGCTAAGTCTGGGGCTTTGAAAAAAGCCAATTTGAAGTAGTTTTTTTGGTGGTTTGTTTGTTTTGTTTTTTTTTCACTGCTTATTTACAGAGCTGCCTTTTCAAATAGGAGCAGGGAGGGGGGGAAGGAAGGAAGGAAAGTGTTTTCTTGCTCCCACAGTGGTTGAGGCTGCTGTGGAATAAAGCCTTAAAAATGCTCAGGTGGATTGTTGGAGTAAAGAGACGTTGGAGTGACAGGTTTTTGAGGGGCAATGACAGCTCTGTTAAGGATATGAAGCTCCATTAGTGTTCAGGCAGAAAGTGTGAGGCTTTGGAGCTGCTGTTCCTGAAAAACTGGGAGGGGGGGTGGTGTTGTACCAAGATAAGGATGATACAGAGCCTGGGAAGGAATAAAGCAGATTTTTTAAGCTGGGAGGAGCTGGTTTAGGCTGAGCCTAACCTGCCCCTGCGTTTTGCCTTTGTTTGTCAAAAGAAGTTTAAAATAAATGTGCAAAGCATTTAATGGGGTTTTAGAGGGAAGTGCTGAGGGATGTTTTAGGGACAAGGGATGTTTTTAGTGGACACTCCCACTGTTCTGGGAGTGTCCAATGCCAGGTTGGATTCCCTTGGAGGAAGCAACCTGGAAGAGTGGAAAGTGTCAGGGTTGGAACTGGATGGGCTTTAAGGTCCCTTCCCACCCAAACCATTGTGGGGTTCCATGACTGGCATTGGGAACTGCAACGTGGGTGTGCCCCGACCAGGAGGTGATTTGGGATGGCTTTTGCCATATTGGTACCATTATCCCAGAAGGAAAAAGGCTCTGTGCACCTCGTGAGTCCCTGAAAAACCCTCTGAGGGAGGTTGTGTATCCCAGGAACCCTCTGTGCCCAGGGAAGTGGGAATAACAAACCCCTCGAGCAGCTCAGCTTGGCTGTTAAAGTGTTTGTGTTGTCATAAAAATGCCACAATAAAAAGGCTCCTGCTGAAGGTTCCTATTTGTCCTGGTCCATCTCTATCTACAAGTGGATTTTTGGAGGGGAGGTGGGCAAAATGTGGAATCTGGTCATAGAATCTTGGAATCCCAGGATGGTTTGGGTGAGAAGAAAGCTTAGAGCTCATCCAGTTCCAACTCCGACACCTCCCGCTATCCCAGGTTGCTCCAGTGTGACCTTGGACACTTCCAGGGGTCCAGGGGCAGCCACAGCTTCTCTGGGAATTCTGTTCCAGTCCCTCACCACCCTCCCAGGGAAGTCCCTGCTGGAGGACAAGCAATTGGAGCCGTATTTTCTATTTGTTTCATGTTGTCTTTGGGAGAATCCAGGGGTTTTCCAGTCTGAAACTCAGTGTTTAATAACATTTCAAGCCAAACCAGCTCTTACCCTGTGATCTCACTTCAGCATTTTGAAGCTGAGATGAGCTTTGGTGCAGTTAGGACAGGGTTTAATTGTTTAATTTTAAGCTGTGCTCAGCCAGGCTTGGACGTGGAGCAGAGCGGGCGACACATTCCCAGACGGAATTCTCCGTAAACAAATCTTTAATTCATGGATTTGGGGGCAACAGAGGAGGTGCAGAAAAAATGCCCTTAGTCTTTGCAGTGAGACTGGGAAGAATCATAATTGTCCAGGTTGGGAAAGATCTCCAGGATCATGGAGTCCAACTGTTGCCCCCGCACTGTCAAGGCCACCCCTGAGCCATGTCCCCAAGGGCCACATCCACAGGGATTTGAAATCCCTCCAGGGATGGGGACTCAACAGCCTCCCTGGGCAGCCACTTCCAATGCCTGACCACCTTTTCCATGAAGGAATTCTTCCTGATGTCCAACCAGACCCTCCCCTGGCACAGTTGGAGACCGTTTCCTCTTCTCCTGTCCCTTGTTCCCTGGGAGCAGAGCCCGACCCTTCCCTGGATCCATCAGGGAGTTGCAGAGCCAGAAGGTCCTCCCTGATCCCTCTTTTCTCCGGGATGAGCCCCCCCAGCTCCCTCAGCTGCTCCCCAGCTCTGTTCCCTTCCCTGGACACGCTCCAGCCCCTCCATGTCTCTCCTGTCTGAGGGGCCCGGAGCTGCCCCCAGCAAACCCTCTGACTGTTCCCCACTTGGAAAACATCAGGAAGCCCAGAATCCTGATTCCTTTCAGATCAAAAGCAACTTGAGAAGTTCATTTTCTTCTCCCCTTCACTTCCTCTAACAGTTCCTCTTCATCACCCAACCCCACCCCTGGTGTTTGGCGTGTTCTCCACCATCCGCCAACTCTCACTTCGCTTCTCCCTTCCACCCCTTGGGATCTTCCAGGGCGGCTTTTGTCTGGGTTGTTCCCAAAAAAATGGGGTTTGAGGCAGCTCTCAGGGCGCTGGTCTGGCTGGTTTTGGGGTCTAAAGGGGTGAAAACCCCACTTGTGCTTCTTGTGGAGAGACCTGGACCTGTAAGTGTGGGGTTAGTGAAGGTTGTGAGGCCAAACCACTCCTTCTGCACCAGCAAGTTTGGGGCTGGAGCTGCGTCTCCATGAGAGCAATTCCCTTGGGAAGAGGGAAGAGCTGCTGCTCCCACTGATTCTGTGGCGATTGTGGAACTCGAGCCGCTCCAGAATTTAGAGATTTTTGGTTTCTGCTTTATAAGATGAGTGAGATCACACCTTGTGTCCTTGTGAGACCCCACCTGGGGCACTGCCTCCAGCTCTGGGATCCCAAAATCAGAAGGATGTGGAGTTGCTGGAGCGAGTCCAGAGGAGGCCACAGAGATGCTCCCAGGGCTGGAGCCCCTCTGCTCTGGAGCCAGGATGGGAGAGCTGAGGGGGTTCAGCTGGAGAAGAGAAGGATCCAGGGACACCTTGGAGCCCCTTTTGGAACCTAAAGGGGCTCCAGGAGAGCTGGAGGGACTTGGGACAAGGCATGGAGGGACAGGACACAGGGAATGGCTTCCCACTGCCAGAGGACAGGGAGAGATGGGAGATTGGGAAGGAATTCCTGGCTGGGAGGGTGGGGAGGGGCTGGGCTGGAATTCCCAGAGAAGCTGTTGCTGCCCCTGGATCCCTGGGAGTATCCAAGGCCAGGTTGGAGCCACCTGGGATAGCGGGAGGTAGGAGTGGGATGAGATGATCTTTAAAGTCCCCTCCAACCCAAACCATTCCATGATTCGGTGTCACAGGTCACCACGTGGGCTCCCAATCCTTCTTGGAATCCTGTGGGCAGGGATAGGAGCCCAGAGGTGTCCCTTGGACCAACCCTTTCCATGGCAGAGCCTCATGTTTCCCTCAGCTGTGCCTGCAGGACCTGCAGCTCTCACCCAGCGCTGCCCAAATCCATCTGGAATTAAACTGGCCTTTTAGAAGCCACTCCATGTTTGCTCCAGATCCCAACAGTTTATGGAGCCGTGAAATTCCCTTCGGTCCATCCAGGGCGTCGCTCCAGGATTATTAAAGAAATTTTTTCCTTTTTTTTCCCCTCTTTGTCTCCCTCCCCTCTCCTTCCCCCCTGCCCAGATTGAGCTGATCCGAAGGGATTACGTGGCGAACGGGGGCTGGGAGACCTTCCTGTCCTACGAAGACCCGGAGCAGGATATTCTGGTCGGGCTCCTGCGCCTTCGGAAGTGCTCCGAGGAATCCTTCCGGCCGGAGCTGAAGGGAGGCGTCTCCATCGTCCGGGAATTGCACGTCTATGGGAGCGTGGTCCCCGTCAGCAGCCGGGATCCCTCCAAATTCCAGCACCAGGTACTACAAACCCTCCCTGTTTTCCCTCCCCTCTCCTCATATAACCTGATTTAACGTCCAATTTGCTCATTTGACATCCATCGTGCCTTTGGATTCCCTTCTCCCAGTTAATCCTTGTCCAGCAGCTGGATTTCACTCCTGGAATCTGAACTGATTACGGACAGAGGGAAAGTGAGATTTTTATTTGGTCCTTCCCCAGTTTTCTTTCCAAGGAACGTTTACTGAATGGATTCTTCCCACCCAAACACAAGGAATCCAGTTTTCTGCTTGAAGTACCCGGAGAAGCTGCGGACTCCCCATCCCTGGAAGTGTCCCAGGACAGGCTGGATGAGGCTTGGAGCAACCTGGGATAGTGGGAGGTGTCCCTGCCTGTGGAACCAGATGAGCTTTAAGGTCCCTTCCAACCCAAACCATTCCATGATTCCATGATTTAGTGACACTCACCAATCTCTTCGTTGGCTCAGGTTTTTTTTCTTCGGAGAACATGTCGTGTATCCCTTAAAACGCGGGAATAAAGGGACTGGGAAGCTGCTTCTTGTTCCTTGCAGTGACTTGTAGGAAAATATCACATTACCCTGCTGCTGCCTGGGACGTGTCGGGGCTTGTGGGGAGCGAAAACCTGAATTAAATTGAGGTTCTGAACCCTTTAGGCTGAGCTTTCCAAAACAATCCCGGTTGCCTGGAGCGCTCAGGGGGCCGATGTTTTAAATTAACTTCCTTGGAAAGGATTAATCTTTGCCTGGGGAGGTGCACTAAGACGTGGTTTTAGCCAGAGGAAACATCAAGGGGGGGGAAAAATATAAGGAAAAGTGGATGTTTCCGCCGTGAAATCATTAAAAGCTGTCATCCTAAATATTGGATGGGAAAAATCAGGAAGGAAAATAAAGGGAATCGACTGAAAGCGGCCAAGCACGAACATGGAAACGGCTGGAAGTCGGAATTCCACGGTGGAATTTCGTGTTCCTCGGGTCACTCGAGGGTTGTTCCTTGGCCAGGGGGCAGTTTCTGATTAGAAGGACATTTTGGGACGAAGATTCCTGTGCATTCCTTAAAAAGGCCTCCGAGCGTTGAGCGGTTTTGTTTTTTGTTTTGGTTTTTAATTAAAAAAATTAAAATTAAAGAATTTTTTAAAAAAATTAAAATTTAAATCATGGTGGCTTCAGTGCCCTGGAAACCAGATGAAGGAAGATCCCGCTGTAATTCCTGCATCCTGGTGTTTAGGAGGGGAGGAACAAAAATCTCACTGTAATTCCTGCATCCTGGTGTTTAGGAGGGAATGAATCCCATCAATTATTCCCAGATATAACGGACAACAGAGGGGTTAAATAGAGGGGAAGGGTTTTTCCCTGTGATTCCAGGAGCGGGAGATTTCCCCGTGTAAATGCAGGCATGGAGCTGGTGCAGGGTGTTAACGTGTTTTCCTGCTTTTCCTTTGGATTTGGCATCTCCTGTGGCACGAGCTGAGAGCAGGAGAGCAGCACGGAGTTGAGCTCAGCCCAGACCTGTGAGGGAACGTCGTGAGAATTCATCCTGGAATGAGCAGGGAGGCAGTTCCTGACTCCTGGGGGGGTTGGAAATCAAGATAACGAGGTGCTGAGGGAACTTGTGGATCATGGAATGGTTTGGGTTGGAAGGGACAGCAAAGCTCATCCCATTCCACCCCCTGCCATGGGCAGGGACACCATCTGCTATCCCAGGTTGCTCCAGCCCAGCCTTGGACACTCCCAGGGATCCAGAGGCAGCTACAGCTTCTCTGGGAATTCCAGGCCAGCCTCTCCCCACCCTCCCAGCCAAGAATTCCTTCCCAATAGCCCCTCTATTCCTGCCCTCTGGCAATGGGAAGACATTCCCTGTGTCCTGTCCCTCCAGCCCTTGTCCCAAATCCCTCTCCTGCTGTCCTGGAGCCCTTTTAGGCTCTAGAAGGGGCTCCAAGGTCTCCCTGGATCCTTCTCTTCTCCAGGCTGGACACCCCCAGCTCTCCCAGCCTGGATCCAGAGCCTGACATTGGATCCAGCCTCTTCCAGTTCCTCTCTGAGGAGGATTTCAGGGAACAAGGGAGTTCACTTGGAATCTCATGACTCAGGGAAGAGCCTCCCTTCCCCTTTGCTCCCATTTACATCCCCAGATTCCATAAAAATCCCTCTGACTGCATTCTGAGTGTCCTTTACTGTAAAATCCCAGGATTGGAAGGGACCTTAAAGCTCATCGCATTCCACCCCCTGCCATGGGCAGGGACACCTCCCGCTATCCCAGGTGGCTCCAACCCGGCCTTGGACACTCCCAGGGATCCAGGGGCAGCCACAGCTTCTCTGGGAATTCCAGACCAGCCTCTCCCCACCCTCCCAGCCAGGAACCCCTTCCCAATCTCCCATCTCTCCCTGCCCTCTGGGAAACTGCAGTTTCCAACTGCAGGATGATTTGCCATCAGTGGATTTAACTCCATCCCATTCCTGCCGTGGACAATCCGACCCCGGAGCTCCCCGTGAATAATTTCACCATCAGAAAAAAAAAAATCCCTGGATATCCAGCAATATTCCCGATCCCAGGATCATTCCTGTGCCAGAAGAGATGAATTTTTTAGAACTGAGCTGGTGCTTGTTCTGACCTTGCTTATTCTCTCCGTTTTTACAGAACTTTTTAGCTTCTCTCCCTGTCATTTCTCCCTTTACAGGGATTTGGGATGTTGCTGATGGAGGAGGCGGAGAGAATTGCCAAGGAGGAGCACGGGTCATGGAAAATTGCTGTGATTTCAGGTACCTTTATCCCTTTTTTTTATCTATATATATTTATATATAATCTCTACCTTAATCTGAAAATAAACCCTCTGCAGCCACTGCAGTGTGAGGGAGAAAATAAGGATCAGCTGTTCCTTCGTCATGGAGTCAAATTCCGCTGTGGGTTTATCCAGACAACCCTGTTGTGGGGAGAGGATGCTCCCCAAGGATCCATCCCAAGGGCTGAAGGATGAGGATTTCTGTGACCACGGGGGTTTCCCTCCCTCAGATCCTGTTCCTGACCTCGGCTTGTTCTCCCAGAGAGCTGCTTTCCAGAGGGAAATTTAAGAGCCTGGAGATGCCAGAGGAGCTTTCAGGATATTTAGGCATTATCCTGGAGGAGGGAGCTCAGGAAGGAAGAGCTGCAGTGTGCAGCAGGAGCAGGGAACGGATTGTGGCAGCAGGAGCAGGGAAGGGATTGTGCCCCTGTGAGGCCACCCCTGGAGTGCTGTGTCCAGCTCTGGGCCCTCAGCTCAGGAAGGACATGGAGGGGCTGGAGCAGGTGCAGAGAAGAGCAACGAGTCTGGGAAGGGTCTGGAGCACAATTCCCATGAGGAGAGGCTGAGGGAGCTGTGGGGGCTCAGCCTGGAGAGGAGGAGGCTCAGGGGAGACCTCATCCCTCTGCACAACTCCCTGCCAGGAGGAGGGAGCTGGGTGGGATCGGGCTCTGCTCCCAGGAACCAGCAGTAGGACAAGAGGGCTCGGCCTCCAGCTGTGCCAGGGCAGGGGCAGGTTGGATATCAGGAAGGAATTTTTTCCATGGAGAGGGATCAGCCCTTGGAATGGGCTGCCCAGGGAGGGGGTGGAGTCACTTCCCTGGAGGTGTTTAAGGACAGACTGGATGTGGCATCAGTTCCATGGGCTGGGAACCACGGTGGGGTTGGATCCAGGGTTGGACTCGATGATCTCGGAGCTCTTTTCCAGTCCGGCTGACTCTGGGATTCCATGATTCTGTGATCTCCCAGCCTGGTGGTGCTGCTGGATCACGGGTGGAAGGAAGCTCTGCTTCTCCTGCCTTCGCCTTCTGCAGGCGGGGGAGAGAAAAAAGGAGGTTGGGGACTTATGGAGGGTAAATCAGATGCATCCCAGGGTGTTAAATTCACCTGGAATGAGGAATGTTCAGGGGGGGAGAGGCTGAGCTGGCACATAAATCAAAGGGGCACATTTGATGGGACCTAAGTAGCCTCATTTCCTCCTGTAAACAGCCCT